ATGTCTATCGAAAGAATACGCGAAAACCTCGGATAAAACGGTGTATGGAACTAAAGAATCAGATCATGTATTGCACAACATGTATGGTCTCTACCGTGTTTTGTGTGGAATTTTGGTTTGGGGTATGGGTTTTACTCCCTCATAGCTTGTAAACTAGAGCGACTTCGGCCACGCTATTAAGCAATTCAGATGCCAGATATCGTAAGGAGTTCAAATCTCTAATCAGAATAAAATAAAGAGAGTACTGGTAAGCTTTATTGGAGAATCAACTCACCTGTCTCCTTAACTCGCAGTCTGGGTGTTACATAAAAAATACATAAATTTATATGATAGTTGAAGATCAGTTTGAAACGTATTGCAAAGTGTTTGAAGCAGAAAACTACTCAGCAGGACACACCTGGCTAGTTTGCACTCGCATTGGCAGTTCTGCATCAATTCTTTCTGTTGTAGCCAGCTATTACAGCTAAAACCACTAACACAGTAACAAAAGAATGGGTCATAGATTAGTAACAAAGAACTACAATGACTACAACATGAGCAATTGAAACTAATATCATTTTATCAGTTTTTGCTCAAAAATAATCTAAAATTAAGAATGAAATGCTTATCTAAAGGTTAGTTATAATATTTTATAGCACGTTGATGTAATAACTTAATATAATTTGGTCAGCAGAATTATGAGATATAATGTAATCAAAAAATATTTTTAAACTGCACTTGTTTACTCGAACTTTTAAATTATCTAAAGAAATCAAGGCTTTTCAGTAGGTTTTTCTGAATTTCTTATTTCTTTGTACAACTTTTCTATCACTGCTGAGTTTAATTCTATGCAACTTGTTAATTATTCAGAATGGAGAAGTAAGTACCTCAGGTTATCAACTCTGTATTTTGAAACAATAAATAAAGTTTTCCTATTTTGTTTTCCTTGATTTATGCCATATGACACATGTAAACCATGGTCTGTATTCTTGGGATAAACACCTAACGTCTGTAAAATCTATCACCATAATAGACGATCCACGATATACATCTGACTTTAGGTTTCTCCATTGCCAAAAATCAAGTGGATCATCCGACAGTATTGTGATCCCAAAACCACACCATGTGGTTTGTGTAATAACAAATAATGCTGTTTTTGTATAATCGTTTGTGCTTTATTAGTATTGCAGAATTCATATTGATCAGCCCAAAGTCCTGATCTGAATCCAATTAAACCATTCTGGGCGTTTTTGAATGCTGCCCTACAGACAGAAGGGGCAACCTCTTTACAAGATTTGCAAGAAAAGTGGCAATCTATTTTATCAATGTGTTATCCAAGTTCTGATAGTGGGTCCTAAGTGAATTTTACGAGCTTATTGGCTGGAAAGTTTCATGCATACAAAGGAAGATTTCTAGTAGGGAAGACATACATAGTAACTTTAAACTCACTATAAGGTGTAAGTAACAAACACTAACTCTTCTCAACGGTGTGGGCAAAATAGATCCAGGAAATAGTCTGAATATTTTATTTTTTAACATTTATATAAAATTTTCTTTTTTGGAAAGTTTTTTTCTTTCCTAACATTTTGGTTTTATTATCTTATCAAAACACATATTATACAAGGAAGGATGAAGACGCCTGATTTAAAAATTCACAGTTGACTGATGTTACCCAGAGATCAATATCGAAGCAAAAGAAAGTTGAATATATCATACTTATGATACTATTTAGTAACAGTGATTAGCGTGTTGTATTGTGGATCCGAGGTTCTATGGTTCGCTCCCCGTTACTGCCAACATTTACCGTGCTCCATACTTTTGGGACGTGTGTGCATTATAAGAGTGACAGTCAAATTTTGCTATTCAGTTAGAGTAGTCCAGAAGTTGCTAGTAGATGATGGGACTAACTGCCTTCCCTCTAGTTTATCGCTTCAGACTTTGGGACGGCTGGCGCACGAAAACCTAACAAAACATACGAATTATGGTCACTAACCTCTTCCCCTAGTGGCACAACGGTATGTCTGCGGACTTATAATGCATGATGTAGCTTTTTGCTTAGTTACAAAACAACAAACAACAACAACACCAACCTCTAAATTAGATGTTTTTAAATCGTGCCGAGAATTTCGAAATGTCTACGTCAAGCTAAGTATATGCATAAACTAAAATGTAAAACGATCTAAGAAAGTTGAATTTAAGCCAGCCCTCGTGAACGACCGAAGACATACTTAAGACAATAATGTCAGGTCATGGTTTTGTTGCTAGGCGACACAGACGAACGGAGCGTTACCAAAAGACAGTTGACTTTTATACATATATATATTAGATTTGGTAATGCGCTACAGCTTTTACTTCGTGCAAAGACAAAGCTAAGATATGTAAAATATAAAAGGTAGTGTTTTTGTTTTTGTAATTTTGCTATATATACAAACACACAAACAAATTTGTTGTTGAGAAGTAACATCTACTTAAATTATACATAGAGTGTGTTTGTGCGTTTCAGTGCAAAGCCACGTATTGGTCTATCTGCGCTTTATCTAACGTGGGGAATCGAAACCTGGATTTTAGCGTTATACGTCCGTAAACTTGCTGCTGACTAATTGATTGATGTTTAGAGTTTAAACAGTTTTTCATTTCTAATCATTTTTAATTCAAACAGTTGTTAAAATACAATTTTATTTTCCTTCTATAAAAAATAGTCTTTTATTCAGTAAGCTACTATGTGCTACATATATGTCAACCAGAAATTGTCATTCGAGGTTTCTGACCTCTAAAGCAGTTTCATAACTCCAGTGATGTAACATAGATAGGAAACGGCTGAACGGCATCGATTGTCGTGTATTTGTGTCTTAAATAGATAATATCTCATCTTTGTGATTTTCAAATATTGTTAATCAGTATTTAAATTTACACGCCTGGTTTCTTTTTGGTCGTTGGATGACACAGAAGTCAATTAGGGCACTTATAATAAACTTAATCTATGTAAGAGGCAAAATTTTCTACAGAAAAAATCCGGTACAAAGTAAGGAAGTATTTCCATACACAATAGGTTTAAAACTGTAAAAAAATCCTAATAGCAAAGTCATTATATAATGACATATATAAGGGATTACTAATATTGATGCTGGAAGGCATATTTTTCGTAAAATATGTAAACCATGTATACAGTGGTATTTCCTAAAACGTTTGACCTTTATTGATTCTAAGATTCTTATAAGCAGGTCAATTATTTGATATTTAGATCAAGCATCTTTTCAAAATAACTGTGGCTGAATACACAAACATCCAAACGCTCTCAGATTTGCACAAATATATATATATATATTTGCTGAATACATTGATCAGTATTACCTCTCATTTACAGCAAATATACTTATATCATTTTAAAGAAAACAACAACTTAATCCTAGTAAGCCCTCCAAATGCCATTTCTGAGATCTAATGACTGAACGATATATCCAACAAGTGTTAATGTATGTCAATTTTATCTTTTCAGAAAATCAGAACAATAATTACTAGGTACTATCACAACTTTATCGTTGACGTTGTGTTTAATAAAAATATGTCTCCCACCCCACTGACTCAGCGGTAAGTCTGAGAGCTTCTAGCGTTAAAAATCGGGTTTCGATACACAAGGTGGGCACAATACAGATAGCCCAAACAAACTCACAGAAGCAAAAGCTTTCCTCTAGGACACTCTCTGCTCCTGTATGCAACCAAATAGATAGCATTTAACATTTAGGTAATGTTTTGTTTTCGGTAGGCTGGATATTGTTTAATGTTACTTTGTCTATTTTGTCCCGAGCAAAATATATTTTATGTTTATGAAAATGAACATATTTGTCCAAATATCTTTCGAGATTTTTTAAAAGTTTTTTTTTTACTTAACCATAGGTGCCTTTTAGTACAAAATTACACAATACAGAAAACAACAACAACTTTAGTATTGTTAATGTAAAAGTAATTTATTATTATGTTTTTAACTAATTATGAGAATCGTTATTTTTACTATCAACATCACACGAGGGTAAAGGGACTGGTATGTTGTTGTATGGCTTGGATAAACAATTCTTTTTCCTCTCTTGTGTTTGTCAAACTTGTGTGAAATTAATAAAGCCAGTTACCTAGGAGTACTAGACCCACTTCCGCATGAAGACATTTCCTGTACGTCAGCTCTAGTTGATTTCTTAAGTATTTATTCACTGGTTGAGCTGTAATTCACGCATTAAACCAACTAAAGTATAGATTAAAAGTACTTCACCTACGTTCGCGAGGTGAATAGTTTATAAATAAAGACAGTTAAGAACCTGGTCGGTTTCTTTCGGTGTCGATGTCCGGACAAATGCGTGAAAAGAACATGTCTGTGAAACACAAAATTTGAAGATTTTGTTACCTTTAACGCAGGCAAGCCACTCAGAAATTTATCTTTGTGACTAAAATTCTGTAAAGAAATCGACACTACTGAAGAAAGACAGTTCTAGACGAAATATAAAGTGTTATAAGCACATTAGGGTCCTTTAGGGTATATGAAACAGCAGTCATGAGCAGTTCAAATGACAAAGTTAAAACAAGGATCTTTAGAATTCCTTCTTCACCTTTATATAGCAAGATACTGAGTTGCTTTTGTTTTTTCACATACTGGATCCACGCAGAGGTTAATAGCCACTGATGATTCAGACATTTCAAGACGTTAGAGATTGTATCGTAGACGAGGAGATTGTTGAGGCTTAAACTAGTCAAAAGACGCTTGATAGCGTTACAACGTGATTCATCGCGACTCACGGAACGCGTGTCGAAAAACTTGACCGTGATTCGCGGTAGCCGACTGATTAAGCGCGACTCACCTCACTAAGAGTTGAACGTGACGGTTACTATGGTAACTTGTTAAGCAGAGGTGCGACCGATGACGACACGAGCTTGTACTCACGTGATAAGCCATTGCAGCACTGTCTTGTGCTTTATCAGCATACGCATATCTCATCCAGCAGCTGGTCAAGCTTGATGTGTGAACTGTAGTAGCCATGGAGCCGAACATTGGAGAGAAACCACACTTTGGTGGGCATTTACTGATCATTCTCAGTGAGCCCTACACCGACAACCATAGAGAAAGGATACTAGAGAAAGTATCAAAAGGTGGGTAAGGTTTCTAAAGTCCATACACTTTAGTGTAAATGCAGACATTCAGCTTTTAATCGATTTATTATTGATGAAGCTGTTATTGAGGTTGTAAGAATACACTAGCGGCGCACTTGGTAGATGTTCATATAAAATGATTATTAAGGGTCATTGTCTCAAGCGTCTTGAAATTACATTGTATTCGATTTCCTTTATCTCTGGACGCATAGGGTGCGGTCATTTAAGGGGCTAATTTTCAAACAAATGCTTGAAAATAACATCTTTTAGAAACTTCAAGTGTGAGGTCCAAGATACAACTGATTTACATGGTTTCATATAAAGAAATAACTGTTTGTACATCAATTACGAATGTATGGTTATTTGTTTAAAAATCTGAAATTCTTCCTACATTTTTAAGATCTCTGTTAAAACAACAAGTGGCGAGACCGACAAGATCTCCTGGTATCTCAGTCATATGATAAGCATTGATTCAACATGTGTTTGTCTTTCGTTTAGTAAAGCCTATCTTAGCTGATTCTCCTGACTGTATCTGGTGTACACTTAATGCTTAGTTTCTGTGGGATCTAAGTCCAGAACCCGTTTTTATATGGAGAGAGAAACATTATAATTTAAGGTTGTTTGCGAACCGATATCTGGCTGACGTAGTCAACTACATCATGCTCCGTCATTCCTATCCCAAACAGTGGGCTTGATAAAACTCGAAAGTTATTTCTCCACATCCAACAACAAGGATCCAGTACTTTTTATCCCATAGAAATCAAGCACCCTATAACAATTTATAAATACTTTATTATCAGTTAGTTCTGTATGAGAAAATTGAAGACTGCCAAGCCATTCTGGCTTTTCATGAACTAAACAATAATTATACCATAATCTATTGTTTATACGCTATCTATACTCTTGTTCCCACAATGATTGACGATATCAGCTGGTTAACAACAGTATTTATGTCGTGACGAGCAATTATGTCAAGACAAAAAAGACTTTAAAGACAAGCTTCAAAAAGACTAATAGATTTTTTCTTTGTTCACGAGAGATGTGTATTAAGGTTAGTAATTATTAATATTACAAATATGAGTAGGCCGTGTACCAAAGCTATTTCAAGGTAACAAACTTCTGCTTTATGAGAGTTGCTAATGTTATTGACAGTCAACAGAAAAGTAAAATGTGCTGCAAAGAAACGTTTCATCATGAGAAATTTTGCGTTTCATAAGAAACGTGTTTTACGCTTAGTTTTTTCGTTCTTATGTTCATTTGTGAATAGAACCGTTTAAAGAACTGGCTAGTGATGTTTATAGGTCATTATTTACACAAGTGTTATTGTTCTTATTATAAACAACAGTAGGTTGGGTTAACAATAATAATGTTGGCAATATGTTTCGTGAAGCTATTTATTTTTTGTGTACAATACACCGGATGTTATACACGTCAGAACAGCATCAGAATGTCTATTTAGAGGTCCCGATTTTTCTTTAAGTACACCAACAAACAATTATTTATGTACCTAATCAGTACTATAGAGTAATTAGATAAGATCTTAAGGTATCAATATTTAAACTTTAACCATACTTTCGGATAGGTATGAGAGGTGACAACATACGTTCTAAGAAAACTAAGTTGTGATTGGCCCACCACTTCACACCCAGAAAGGTGCGATTTCACTCTTTTTTCTTGTTAGAACGTACAACACTGGATAGACAATGGTGCTAGACTTTTAGCAGTGTTTAAGACAAAACAGACTTTACGTAGCGTGTTAAATGAGCACTTGTGCCCTAAGACTAATTTGAACACTGTTACAAAAAATGCAGTTTCTTTCATGAAAAATAGGTTTCCAGATCATGCTATCGTAATAGTCCTCAGAAATTTTCTGTATATATATATATATGGGCAGACTTTATTTTACGCTGATTTATATGAATCTCGGTAAGCTTGTTTGTTTATGAAGAACAAATCGTTTCTTATGGTGAAAAAATTTTCTTTTCATGCGCAATAAAAACAGAATAATTTATACCTGTAGGGCCATGTGAACGTATAAAGATCTGAAAGTACGTATATCTATACACATATATAAACACACTCACACATATATACATCAGGGGATAAATTTAATTTAACGCCCGAGCGATCCATTTGTAGTAACGTTTTCTTTCTAATTATATATTTTTTTTGCTTCTAAGTATAATTAGTAGAAACTACGTTTCTTCAATTGGTTTGGATGTTGTGAGCTCTAGCACTCAAGTTTGCTCCTAAATTTTCCAGTGTTTTATCCTCTCGATTTGTATGTCAGACTTGGGAATAGAGATTAAATCTAATAGATGTTGTGTTCCTTAATGCTGTATGAGTCCTACTTCTGCGGATACTTCACTTACTATAGCTTAGGATAAATTACCTGTTTTAACCAATCGTACCACTATACAGTAGTGTGTTATCTGTCAGTCAGTCAGTAGACACTAAAATGACGTCACATAAGGGACGCTTAACTTTGCAGTTTGTACTACCGTGACGTTAGTAAAACGTGCACATGTCATGAATCACAAGAAGATTTATGCACTCTGTAGGCTACAAAATAACATGATATATGAACTTCAAAAGCAAGAAATGAAAATATTTGTTCCTCTTAATTTTAGTTTTATTTACTCTTGAAACAGAACTCTTTCAATGAACCTACAAAATCTAGTTTTACTCTACGTTCGATATTTTTCCAAAAACGAGTCAATAATTAATTACTTCACAGCGTATTTTAGTTGAAGACAAGATATTGAAATATCTTCCATTTTCCCAGAAAGACGCCAGGAAAGCTCACAGATTTTTTTTGTGTGGGTACAATCAAATTCTGTTGCGCTTATTTCTGGTTTTTGTTGCCTAAAGCAACATGGGTGTAAAACCAAACGCTTTGAAACAGAGAGGTCAAACAAAATCTATATAACTTACTAGGTTTCCTTGGCGTAACAATAAACAAGCTCAACAAATATTTTAGTCAAGCCCAAAATGCAAAATGAAGTATATTTTTCAGAACGTATATAAAATCATGAGTGCACATCATTTCACGGTGTATCACTGCCAGAGAAGCCAAATATAGAACATTAATGAAATTTATTTGAATCAAAAAAGGACTAATAACGTTGTTGTTCAAGTGTCACTGTTAACACGACTATCAATTAACAATGAGAGTATAATTCCTTATTATTAATATAATGATTGAATAAAATAGATAATAGCCTTTCACTTATAGGTCATTATGCGATTCATAGTCGCTGATCAAAATATGTATGTTTAGAAACAAAGTATTAAATGAACATGTTATATTAATCAATGGTACATAAATATTAATGTGTATGTATACATTCTGGATGTATACGACTTGTACCCTAGAACAGAGTATTAGAGTATTCCAAACTTTATCAGCACAAGCCCCCCCCCCCTACTACCCCTGACGCTTTCCTCTGCCTAAGTTTGGGAACCCCTGTCCTATAGAGTATCGAGTAGCTTTTGTTTGTTTCTAAAGTTGCCTCATTACCTGTGGTTATAAACTTTAACACCAGGGCACGTGCTAAAAGTATTTATGAGAAAATGTGTTTTGGAGGTGTATCTGATGAAGGCGAAATCACTCAGTGTCAGAAGCTCGTCGTCTATCACTTCTTTATAAATATAAATATGAAACACAATCTATATTTCGATTCACTACTTTTCACTGAGTTTCGGGATTTCTATCCATGATCAATAAATCTGGACAAAGGCAAATCGAAAATCAAGACTAGGCTTTCTATAGTAGTAAAGTATACATTAAATGGATTGTGTTTTTAATTTTATTTTACTCATCACAGTGAACCTATACTTATATAGAATTTGAAGAATATGTAGCGATGATGCTATATTATTCTATGTTATTTAGCGGACAAGCTCTTTAAGATACAAAGATAATATGAAACCCCAATCTACCATTCGATTCACCACTTGCCTGTTATATCAATTTGGGGGAATTTCACCCCTTATTAGTAACCCCTGGAGTTTGTTTTCACAAGCTTCACATTTGGAATAAATAATAAGAAAATATAATTAGGAGCAGATGTTGGTGTCTGCAATCATTTTTGTTAGTTATGATATGGCTTCTTGCATTCGTAACTTGTTCTACCAGTAACATGTGGTAACATGCACAACTCAAAATTATTTTCACAAACATTACGCACTTCTTTGACTCACCAATCGACATTAGAGTTATTCATGACTTCCGGTGATATTTTTAACTTTAGAAAGTAGAACAAAAGCAATTGAATAGGCTGACGAATAATATTTAATGTGAAATAATTATTCTATAAAAATACGGTGCACACGGCTTAAACAGCAGGTTATATAGTATTTGCAAGTGACAAATGTCATTCGACGCCTGGCTGACTGAATATGAAAATAAACTAGCCAAATATAAGTTATTGTAATCATTATTGTTTTATACAATAAATTATTTTTTTCAAAGATTAAATATAAACATCTAGACTTTATTGGTATTCAACCATCGTTACAAAATGTTTTTTTACGTGAGGGAGTCATTAGAAGAAGTTTCCTGAAGAAAATCGGATAATCTCGTGATCGCCTACATTTCTTTTTAAGTCGGTAAATTCTTATTAATTTCGAAATTTTATGTCCAAGGTTTGAGCCGCGATATGGCCTCTGAACACGATTCGTAATTTCATTTTCGGAGGCATTGTAAGGCAGTACATCTCACTGTTTTGATAAAGAGTACCCTCGTATACGGCAGGTACTGCTGACTGATTACCCTTTCACTGATCATTAGAATGGTCATGTCTGAATCTTAGGGGTGTTGGACCTGGCCATTTAGCCCTTGTGTTACATATGGTGCCATTCAGGCTGAAAATACCGGTACCTGAAAATAAAATTGCTGTTATGTTTCTTTCAACGCAAAACTACTTAATAGGTTACTTACAATCTGCCAATAACGAGGAATCAAACCCCGGATTTTAGTGTTGTAAATTCTTAAACTT